CTCACACACACACTCACACACACACTCACACACACCCAACACACACACTCACCGAACACACACACACCCAACACACACTCACACTCACCCAACACACTCACACACACACACACACACACTCACCCAACACACACTCACACTCACACACACTCACACACACACTCACACACACTCACACTCACACACACTCACACTCACACACACTCACACACACACACTCACACACACAACACACACACACACATTCACACACACTCACATCCCCAACACACTCACACTCACACACACTCACACTCACACACTCACACACTCACACACACACACCCAACACTCACACACACACACATTCACACACACACTCACACACACATCCCCAACACACTCACACACACACACTCACACACACACACTCACACACACCCAACACACTCACACTCACACACACACACATCCCCAACACTCACACTCACACACACTCACACTCACACACACTCACACTCACTCTGAATTTAAATAGGCTCCCACATCTGATTNACACACACTCACACACCCAACACACTCACACTCACACACACACATTCACACACACACTCACACACACACATCCCCAACACACTCACACTCACACACACTCACACACACACTCACACTCACTCTGAATTTAAATAGGCTCCCACATCTGATTTGCTGAACAATGTACCAGAAAAATTCCACAGTAATTCTTCAGTTTTACACCAGAACAGATCAATGACCTTCACCTCCTCACTGCTCAGCATTGTTTTACCTGCCAGGCCAGCCCGGCAGCTGCCCTCTGTTCATTTTCTCGGAGCACTATTCCAAATCACCCCCATTTCTCCCCGGATCTCTGCGGATAGGCCCTTTTAGGGATGATGACCTTGTCACAGAAATTCACAAAAATTCCAAATCTATTTGACATTAACCAACTGAATTTCCTTTTCTTGTCAGTAAATGTATCTACATCTGCAAATCTTTGCACTTTCTTCTGGTGCCCAGTTTCTTCTTCGTTTCTAACCCAACCTCACTTTTTTAGAAGCAAAAATCTAGAGACTACATTTCTCAGCTCTCCTTACAGCTAGAAGTGGCCAATAAAAAATAAGCAAAGTCCCTGACTGATGTTTCAGGAAAGTGCCTTAAAGAAGGCAGACTCAGCTGGGGGAAGGGGGTCTACTCTTTCCCTTCCCTCTTTTCTCTTTCCTCTGGCCTGGAACTTAGTTGAGATGGCTGACATCCTGAACCATTAGGTGACCTTAAAAATATAAAGAGCACAAATAAAAAGAAACTTGTGTTCCAGGTGTGCCTACCTTCAGATTTGTTTGCAGTCTGGGAGACAAATTATCTTCTTTCTATGAAAGGTATAATTATTTTGACTTTTTATTATATGTACCTAAGACTAATCTTAACTGATATATTTCCAAAGACAGAAAAGGTGGTTAAATCTCATGTCTCATGTCTGTGCCCTTGATATTATTCCCTGTGGTATGTGATTCTATCAGTTAACTCTTCTCTTGCCATTCTCAGCGTCTCCCTCAAAGCCTATATAGCCAAGCTCAAGTTTCTCAGGCCTTAAACAGCAAAATGTATATACTGAAACAATTCCAGAGGTCCTCTGAATCAACAGGAAAGCAAAAGAACACAGCTTGGAAAGCCATCAGGAATAACGGGGAGAGGGATGGCCAGAACCGTGCTCAGAATCCTGCCACAAGGATAACAGGCTATTGAGGGACTACCACCACCCAGCGGCACTGGGCACTGCCACTGGCTCTACCACCAGCAGCACCACCTCTGGATACTAGATGACACTGTCCCCTCTGGAGGGTCTCGCCCAGACCCTGGCTGATAGGGCTCAGAGAGCTTTCATAGTACAATGGTGCTCTGCCTCCTCTCACACAGCAGCAGAGTCCCCACAAGTAGAGAACAGACACCCCAGGAAGCCACATGAAATAAAAATAAAAGTCTCCACCACATCCAGTCTTCCTCCAAACTCTTGTCCTGGACCCACATAAGTCTTAAAGCCCCCAAATGTGTCCTGCTTCCTCACACATACTGACCTTTGTCTAAGCCTCCCCTTTTGCCTGGTATACAATTTCCCCCAGGCCCTCTTCCTGATCCTACCCTTACCTGCCTCCAACTTATTTGCCAGATAAATTCACTTGAAACTCTCAACTCCCTGCCTAGTCTCTCTCCAGCCTGCCCTTTCCTCTCCAGCTCATATTTCTTCTCTTTTTCCTGTCTGTGATCCAGCAACACAGTTCTGCTCACTAAGGTAATGGCAAAGGCCTTTACCTGACCAGCAACTTTTTACTCACCATTCTCCCAGCCAAGAACACTCTGGTTCTGACCCTTCATGCAGACACATCTTTCTGTTCTGAGCCTAGATAATATATCCTTAAAGAAGCTACCCCTAACCACCTTGTCTAAAGTAGCAAAACTGCCAAATGTAGCTTCCCTCTTAGCATGTGTTAAAGTTTGAACTGTGTCCTCTCAAAAAGAGATGTTGAAGTCTTAAATCTCAAAACCTCAGAATATGACCTTATTTGGAAATAGGATCTTCTCAACAATATTTAGATTCTTCCTTCGGCTCCAATATAAGTCTGGTACCTTGGGATCCTTTACCTCTATTTTAATCATCAGTCCTTCATTGAGTCATCTCCAGTGAGAACAAACACTATGCGGACACTAGGAGAAATGACAAGAATCTGTTAGAATAAACTATACAGAGGAAAGTGATGATGATGATGAAAGAATAGCCTTAATATTGGAAGCAGATGGTAACAATTTAACTCTAAATTTACCCCAGCTTTATCAACCAAACAATATAATCTTCACTAGAAAAAGACCAGAGATTTCTGACTGAGATTTGAAATTTAACAGAAAGCTATGTTTATTAGAAGCCAACATGGACTCAAAAAGAAAAAGAAAAAAAGATGCCAAAGTAACATCAGTTTCTTTTTTCATATAGAATTGCTATTACAAACACAGCAATTTTCACCTACCGCAGTACTTGGGAAATATCAAAGCCAAATGCTGTGTTTCACCACAACTGGTTAACACCAGTTGAAACTATTCCATGACATGGGCTTTGCAGAGCCCAGGCATGCCAGATCCTTACTGTCCAGAAGTGAAACATTCCTGACCAGTGACAATGGACAGCTTCAAGCATCAGCCAGCAATGAACACTGTACTCATTCTGTCCTACGCAAAGGGAATGTTGATGTAAGGACACCCAAACCTGTAAAGAATTTTTACAA